GCCCAGACGCACCGGAGATAGGCAGGAAAGAACAGGGGCTCCTTTACCTGCTGGTGGTAGAGAGATGCCAGCTTGTAGTCCTTGTTGACTTCAGCTTCACGAGCAAAGAGCCAGAGCTGCTCCTCGGTCATGCGAGGCAGAGGGGCAGGAGAAGGAGCTTCCTCAGACAGGAGCTGGTAAGGAGTGAGACAGAGCGTTAGCCCTGGAGAAGGTAAGAACGGTTCATGTGATCCCAGTACAGCAGCAGTCCCCAGTCCGGCACTGCGCTGCCTACAGCCTGGGTGGGTCGGAAAGGCACACTGTCCTGGCTCCTGCTTGTGGTGGGACACGTTCCTGTCATTCCCAGGCACCTCTGCCACCCAGAGACCTGGCAATATCCATTATCTGCAGTTGTGACAAGCAAAAGAACCTCCTAGATCAAACTGCCTCCGTGGTGTCACTTATTGGTGACCCCAGCTGCTGCAGGAAGGTCTGTGCTCAGCCTGGCAGAGTGGCCAATGGCACAGCCCAGCTGTCCTCACCCTGAGCCAGCTACAGCAGCTTTTACAGCATCTCACACCCATCCCACCATCAGGATTTTGGAGCAGTGGGACACAGACGCACCAGACCCTGCCTCTGAGCGTGGCTTGGTGCTCACGTGTGACAAATGAAAGCAGGAGCCTGCTTCTGTCTTGAAGGCAAAAGTCCCCCTGCCTTCCCTAGACGCAGCGTCTGGCCCTGGATCCACAGGGAAGTCATGTCCCAGGTCCCCAGGTTTCTCCCCACCTGGTTCAGGGCAACGTGCATCTGGTCCACGAGGTACACGTAGAGTTCACTGAGAAACGCCTGGAATTGCTCCTGGCTCTCAAAAGCTGTGGTCTTCAGGTATTTCTCCCTCACAATCTTCACGACAGCGTACTGTGGAGATGTGAGACTGTTGGACAAGGGCAGCCCCAACCCGTGCCCCCCTACCAGCTCCCTAGTCGCACAGAGCCCGAACACACTGATTCTGCCTGAAGCTCCAACTGAGTTCTGAGGGAGAAATCCAGCCCAGCACCGAGAAAAGGAAGAAAAGTGAGGAGGGGGGAATTCCTTTCCCACCTCCCAGCCCTGGCACACCAATGCCCCTTTGGGGACAAGATATGGGAAGGCTCGTCCGCTTGGCACAGCGAGGGGGACGCCAGGCAGAGCGCAGCCAAGGGGACGACCAGCTGAGAGAGGGGAACCCCTCTTTCTGCCAAGTGCCAGGAGCAGTCAGCTTTGCCTTCCTCAGGGTACGAGCGTGGGGCAGATGGATGTGATCAGCTTTGGAGTGTCCCCTCTTTAACGGGAATGGTTCTGCTGGAGTGTGACCGAAGCAGCTTGATGCCTGCTCCATTAGAGGACAAACCTGACCCTCCCCATGCAACGGGTGGCAGGAAGGGATCCTGGAGCACCACAGCACCCTAAGTTACCTCCTCACTGAGAAACTGCCAAGATAAAACAAGTAGGGAAGCGAAAAGCACAAATGGACTCTTTACCTTTAGCTGTTCCTTAAAGGCAAAATATTTCCCAGAGCTGTTGAGCTCAAAGTTGAGCTGACGCTTCTGGTCCTCCAGGGTTTGGTGGTCTATTGCTCCCTGGTCGGGCAGCCGCTTCCCAAAGAGCTCATGGTATTCACTGAGGATGGCAACGGCGATGCTCGTGACGTGGTTATGATAATCTTCCACAGCCTGGGAAAGAAATAAATAATCAAACTTCACATGTCACTTATGCCATCAACCTTGAAATGTCTTTCATTTGCCGGAGCCCCTGCCTCCCATAAACAACCCCTGACTCAAGTCTCACTTAGTTTGCCATGCATCCTCTCCTGTCCATGGCCGAGGGCTGTGAAAATATTGACATGTAAATAAATACAAAAGAGCTCCTTCATAATTAGATATTGCTCCTGCTGTATTTTTCAATCAGAACCCAGTATTTCCATCATCATCGCCTCTTCTATAGCAGTATAACTGGATGTAAGTAAAATACATCTCATTTGCTGGGAGCCTTTTAAACCCACAGGCCAGCCCTCTTCGGCAGAGTCTGTAATCTCCATAATCTTGGTGGCAGAAACTTCCATGGGCTGTGATAATCCAAATGTATCACTGCACTCCAGACAGTCCAGCACAAATCAGTTCTGCAGCAGCACTGGTGTCGGTTATTGACGTGCTGCTTCTCCCCCCACTGTTGCTTTGGATTTACCACCAGCCAGAGGCCATGCGAGGACATTCTCCTTCAACAGTTGCTCTGTGCCCACTGGAGACAAGCCAACGCTCTCAGACTGTTTTCTGAGGATGTCACACACACAAATGTCCTCAAAAGTTCTGGGTGACCTGAGAGCAGTCGGGGCTGATTCTGTTCACGTTTGTCTGGGGCTGATGAAGCACATGGGCCAGTCTGAGACAAGAAACTGCTGGGAATGCCGGGGGTAAACACAAGATTCTGGTAGCCTCTTTCCCCAGCATCCCACTTCCTTCCAAACCCCCCCCCACTGCCGCCATCCCGCCTTTGCTACATCTCTCCCCTTCTTCTGGGCTGCGGATGTGAGTGGCACAGCCCAGGAATGATCTCCCAAGGCATACTGCTGCGAAGATAACAGAGCCAGAAATTTTCATTTCTGGGTATTTCCTCTTCAAACCTCATCTGCGTGTTGCTGTGGGGCTGAGAGTGGGAATGAAGATGCTCCCGTGGGAGAGGGACGAGGGCAGGATGCGGTGGCAGGGTAGTGATGGTGCCCCAGGCTCCTGCACCCACCTTCTTGGCTCCTGTCATCCGGGGAGGCAGTGGTGGGCGAGGAGGAATCATCTGCTTGACCCTGGCGATGAGAGGAGAGGAGACATCAGCCAGATCCGCTGCTGATAAAAAAAGTAAACCAACAAACCACCTGGGGAAAGCAAGTGAGTAATGAGGGCCAGGCAGAGGCTGGCAGAGAATTTTGGATGGAGATGAAGAAAGAGAGCTATGGTTTGCTCCTAACAGATATATTTAAACATTTTTCCAGAAAAAGATCCACTGTTGATCTCCTCTGCTAGGACACATCTGTGGCATCAGCTGGGCCCTTCCCACGGCTCAGGAGGGCTGATTTTTCCAGCCTGACGTCTGCAGCTGCGTGTGGCAGGTGAACAAGGAGGAACTTCACTGAATCTACACAAGTTACAGCAGAGCAGGGATGGTACAGAAAGGGCCAGGGAAGGTCTAAGGGGGGGTTCACCTTCCCCAACCTGCTCATCCTAGAAGCCAGCAGGCAGCACAGAACACAACACACCTACCTTCCCTTCTGAGTGGCTGCTGCTCACATTGCTGTTTGAGAGAAAGCACACCGCCTACGAATGTTATACTTTATTCATTTGCTGCATTTTCTCTTTTTTATTCAATAAATTGTACCCACCAGGCCTCTCCCAGGCTGCAAGGCAGCAGGGCTGCTGCTGGACAGGGAGGAATAGCCTCAGAGCAAACAGACAGTGGGAGACTCGAAGCAGGAAAGACGAGAGAGGAGCTCTACAGCGGAACAACGTGAAAACTAATGTAAGAGCTGAGGAGTGGTTAGAAGACTGTGAGAAAACTTCCAAAAAGAAAAAATAAAAAAACCCCAGACTGCTATGTGAAGTTCCAGCAGCACTAGCTGGGGCAGTCCCTGCTGATGGTCAGTCCTGACCATGCAGCTGAACATCACAGAATCACAGAAGGGTTTGGGTTGGAAGGGACCTTAAAGCCCATCCAGTGCCACCCCCTGCCATGGGCAGGGACACCTCCCACCAGCCCAGGTTGCCCAAAGCCTCATCCAGCCTGGCCCTGAACCCCTCCAGGGATGGGGCATCCACAGCTTCTCTGGGCAACCTGGGCCACTGCCTCACCCCCCGCACAGGAAAACATTTCTTCCTCACATCTCATCTAAATCTCCCCTCTTTCAGCTTAAAACCATTCCCCCTCGTCCTGTCGCAACACTCCCCGAATATCCCATGCAAGAGGCAAGCACGCAGGGATTAATGGGAAGCAAAGCCCGGATGGGAACGCAGATGCTGTTGTGCTGCGCTGGAGTCTTTGTCAGAGCAATGGCAGGGAGATGCCAGCTTGGATGAGCGCGAGTGTTTTCCCAACACATCAGCTGCCATCGCTTCAGCAGTCTGGCCAAATCCTCCCCCTGATTGCCGCAGGCTCTGGCTCAGGCCCTGTGTTGGTCCCTGTTCCTACCCTGCAGAAAGGAGCTGTCAGGCTCAGAGTTACAGCGTGGCTTTACGCACCGGCTGGTGAGCTCCTCTCGCAACCGCTTGGGTACCAAGGCCTTGTCCAGCTTTATCTCCAGCACCAGGAACGTTCCTGCTTCAGCGTATTGCTGTGAAGACAAACATTGCTCTCTCAATGCCGTGCTGTCTAGAGCCATTACCAGCCTGATGAAAGACCGAGCACGTTGCTGCAGATCTTCAGCAAATCCACCTCAGACTGCAGAGATACAGCTTGGTTTATAATGTGCCCTCAAGACTGATTTACAGCAGCTCCAGAAACCAGTCTAGGAAAAAGGAGAAAGCCCAGAGAATCAATCTAGTTCTAGACGTTTTGAGGAAGAAGCCAAAATATGAAGGACCCTTCTAAATAAAAGCCCGATGATTTACAGAGACCTTCTAGCCCAGCGCTAGACTGCCCTCCAGCTGGACGTCACTGGAAGAACTCCAGGACGGCATCTACGTAAAACATCCCTTCTCCAACTCACTCTTGAAGGATTTAATTGCGTGAAAGGTGCGAGACACCGGGGCAGCGATGGTCTAGCAGTCTTTGCTTCTATTTGGAGATAATTACCTGTCCATCAGGGCTGAGATTTGTGACATTGTCAGCTTCTGCAGTGGCATCTGACACCAGGATTTTGGCCGCATTAGAAGTCTATTGAAGAAAAAAAAGACGTTGCTGGTTTCAGATTTGATAAACCTCACACCTTTGCAAATTCAGGGTGCGAGCTGAAAATTTGTCAGGCAGCATGTACTAAAATTTCGAGATAACAAGTACCTCTCCGTTGGCTGAAGCAACACACCATCAGTCCCTGGGTTCTGCGTGCCCCAGCTACCTCTGATGGGGGAACAGAGCAACCACGTTGCAGTACACCTCTCTAGAGCTTACCCTTCTGATGGAATCCTTATCTCTGGGGATTTTCTCTTTATCTTCCTTCTGAGTCTTGCCCAGAGCAGCTCTGGTAAGGGGAGTACTGATTCCGGGGGTCCACAGCCCTTCCTTCGTCAGACTGAGCTGCGACCTGAGAGCCCGTAAAACACTGCGCTGGCTTTTAGTCTGAAAAAAAGAGGGAACAGAAAGAATCAAGGGACAAACTAGGCTTCCCCACCCCTTCACCTTAACCTTTCACATGGTGAAACACATTGTCAGGCTCCTAAACGCATTAAGAAGCTGTGCAACCCTGTCCTCCCCTCCCAGGAGCTGAGCTGCCAGTGCTCAAGGCCAGCACTGATCCCGTAGAGCTGTGAAGCCTCAGGTTAGAAAAGAGCTGCTTAGGAAAGCCTCAGGGGGTTTTCTTTTGAGAGATGCATTTTCCCTGAAGTGCTGGCCCTTATTCTTGCCTGAGCAATGTGGAGATACGTTGGAACCCAGCCCTGGGCTGCCCTGATCCGGACACGCTGGCCTGAATTTCTGGCTTGATCCTGGACCTGCCTCCTGCCTCTGGACTTGTCCGATGATGTGGACTGGCCGATGGGTCTGGCCGCCCTCCCCAGGGCTGCTCTGCAGTTTTTGGGGTGCCCCCACCTGCCCTGGAGTGACCCTTGGCTCCTGGCTCACGCTCTGGTGTGGAGCAGTTTCCCTGACACATCAGTGAATCGCAGGGAACAGGTTCTTCAGATTGTCCGTTCACACGCTGCTTGAGCACCCAGACAGGCGTGTCCCTCCCAGCTGTCACTGCTACCTGGGCTAGCAAGGACGGAGGGGACACCGGGGAGAGGATGGAGCAGCTACACTGAAACCATCCAGGCCAAGGCTAAGGAGCAGCCCAAAGCATCCACAAAACCAGAGAATGACAGAGAGACCGTGTGTCACTTTGCCTGTGACAAATAAATGCTACAGGACAAGGAGTGCCACACAGCCAAGAGGCTGTTCATCACGGCAGGGAAAGAACGGCCGCAACAACACAGGCGCTCTTGCTGCTGTTCATCACGGCAGCGAAGCAGCGCCAGCAAACAGCCAGGTGCTCTGCTTCGGAACAGCCGGGGAGAAGGGCTGCGATCCACCCCGCTCCTGTGGCCGGGGCAGCAGCACCACGGGGACGTGAGCAGAAACTCCAGGCTGGGCAGCTGCCCCCCTGAAACAAGCTGCGGTCCGTGCTGGGATAGTGTGGGAAAATGGAGATGTAACTGTCACTCTTGGTAACAGAGCGGGGAGAAACACAAAGCCAAAGAAACCTCCATGAGCTCCAGCTGAAAGAGCTCCAGTGACAGCTTTTTGGTTGTTGCCTGGGGTAACGCTATCCTTTCAGAGCCACTGTTTGCTCTTCCCAGCAACGCAGTTCATCTGCCTGTGTTCCAGACTGGGGAGAGAGAAGCTTTCTCGCAGCTCTCCCTGCTCAGCCGCTGGCAAGGCAGGAGTGGAGTGGGCTTCAGAGCCTCTCCCAGCCCCCAGACCTGCTCACGCACACCCAGAAATCCCCCGACTTTGAGAAGTCTGCACCAAAAAGCTTGTCTCCTTATTTTTCTCCATCACCAGATGGGCAGTGAAGTTTCAGAGCCAGTCTCTGAGTACCACACTGCCTGCCCCCAAACTCCACGCTACCCCTGCTGCCTGCTCCCAAACCCCACCGCCTACTCCCAAACCCCACGCTGCCTGCTCCCAAACCCCACGCTGCCTGCTCCCAAACCCCACGCTGCCTGCTCCCAAACCCCACTCTATGCAAACACAGCTGCCTGGCTGCTCTCACCTTCTCGAACACCTCGCTGTCTTGGTAGGTGAAGACACGAAAAGCACCTCGGATCTTTTTCACACCAGGGCACAGCAGAGGCACCATGTTGACGTATGCCACGCCATGAAAGAAAATCTGCTTCTCCTCATCTCCCTGGAAACAGAGAGCAAGGGACTGAGATGCTGAACAGCCTGTTATTCTCTTTAGGGTAACAAGGTCACCGATCCCATTAAGAAGAGGCCACACAGCAAACTGATGCGCCTGATGAGCCGGTGGCTCTCTGTCACTGGCACGAAGCCGAGACAACCTGGATGAAAGCACTGGAGTCATGCGGATAGGTAGGATATCGATTGTATTCCAGCCCCTGCAGGGCAGCTTTTCTCTCGCTGCCCACACTGGGCCATTCCTCAGGATGGTCTCTGAGATAGAGCTGCAAAATTACCGACCCTGTGGTTAGAAATCCAAGTGACCCTGACAGAGCTGCACATCTCAGGTCTGACAGGCAGAAATCAGGCAGGTAAGGAGGTCTGAGAGCCCGGGCCAGCAACAGCCTGGTGAGGGGAAAGGAGAAGGAGCTCCGTCAGAGCCACAAAATTCTGGCACCAGTGAGTGCTGAGAGGGTTTTCTACCAACTTACGTGGCTTTGCCCTGGAATGATTAGGAGCTCTCACACAACCAGCCACCAGGCACAGAACAATTAGCTAAGGAGCTGTTTCTTTGTTAAATCACCTCAGTTTATGTGCAAAACCATAACTCATTTACACCCTGAGAAAGAAGGCAGGAATTTCTTCAAGATGCCCCAAAAACCCATTGGCCACAGATGAGCTCCGTGAATTACCTCAACTCTCCAAAAGCACCCTCTCCCTGCCCCCCTCCCACCAAGCTACCGCAGACTGTCAGCGAGAGCTCTGTCTATATGCTCCAAGGAAAAAAATATTGTCCTTTGTCTATTCAACAGCTCTATAAGGCTAATTAATCCCTTGCCAAAGCCGCTGGCTCCCTGACTCGCTGGGGCTGGTTCAAGGCTGGTTTTGGTATTACAAAGGCACTGAAAGGAAAACTCTCGATAACGCAATGCCGCTCCACAAGCTGGAACAACATATCCCTCCCCACTTTTACCTTGTCAGCTTTGCTGGTTTTGCGTTTGTTGGAGACCACAGCCATCCTGCAGACCTCCACGGGCCAGTACTGGCACTCTGCGATGCGCTTCTGCAGGCTGAACACAAAGCAGAGCTCTGAGGAGATGCAGAAACCAAGCTGGAGAGCCACACCACCCTCCTTTCTGCCCCAGCATCCCCAAAATATCCCCCCTGCCTTGGGTTTGCTCCAGCCCACTCCCGTGAGACACTACAAGTACCCCTGGGCCACTGGAATGTGTGTACTTCAGGGCAGGCGTAGTACCTTTTCTTCTCCATCCACCACGGTATAAATTTATGGCACAACCAGCTTTAAAACAACAGTGAGAGCAACACACCAGGTTTTCTCTCCCCTGGTTACTTCAGAAATTAAATGTATAAGAAGGAATGTGATTAACGTGGGTATAAATCCTGAACTGCACAGAGAAAGTGGACCCTGAGCTCCCGTTCAATGTGTCTGGTAACCCTGAAACCAGCAGGCAGGCTGATGGAAGTGTAGGAAAAAAAATAATTCAAAATCAAACCAGATGGAAGGGAGTATTTCCACACGAGGAGTGATTTGGCTGTGAAACTCACAGCCAGGATGCAGCTGAGGCCAAGAACGTAGCGGGACTCAAAGAGAAACGGGATACTTCTCCCAACCTTAAGCATATCTGGAGCCATTAGAGGTAATGTTTAGCCAATAAAAAAGCAAAAGAAGAGCGCCCACGTGGAGTGAAAGGATTTCAATGTATTGGGAATTCAACAAAACTAACCTAGGAGCTCAGAGGAGAGCTGTGTGGGCCACCCTACTCCACGCCTGCCCACCATAGCTCAGCTGCCCCTTCCCTCCAGCCACAGAGGAGCAGCCACCAGCTTCAGCTGCTGTCAGCGTGAGCGAGGATTTACAGCCTGGGGACAGCAGCTACAGCCACTTCCTCTTCTCCCAGAACAAAGCTACTGCCACCAATTAAAGGCAGTTCGCTGCTCCCGTGCCCGTTGAACCCCTTTAACAGACAGCCAGCCCTCCCAGGCACAGGAGGTGAGGCAGAGCCCCGGGCTGACCTCCCGGGGGGTCTGAGAGCACCGCGTGTTGCTGCTCCCTGCCCGAGACAGCTCACGCAGCTGTGTGTGCTCTGGGGTGGTTTCTCCCCACCGCTCCGTGCTGGAAGGGAGGCTCGCAGGTCCCTTACGTGACTGCTGCAGCGGGATCCAGGTAACAGCGCCTTTCCGTGTCCCAGACGATTCTCTTTGTGCTTTCTGCTTGGATCCTAAACTCCCTGTCCTGTGAGGAACAGCGTGCGGTCAGGACCAGGACAGCAATATCTACAGCCTCCATCGCCCCCCCAGAATGTTCCCTGGGAGAGAACGTGAGGCTGACAGAGAGGTGTCCCGCTCACCGTCCCCAGCCCATCCTGGCAGAGCAGGTCAGCAGCCCTCCCTGCAGACACCACCGCCCGTTAGTATTGAGAGTCTTGGCGGACAAAGAGATAACACAGCTCCCAGCCCAGCAGCCCAGCAGTTGTCTGGGGACCCAACCCACCATGTGCACACTCAGGAACTCTCCTGCGGCAAGTTACACACCCGCTGTCCCAGGGAGCCATCTCCATGTCCGAACTCTGTGCAGGGGACCAACCCCCTGCCTTGCTCCCCTCATCCCATAATGAGTCTCTGGAAATTGTTCCCAGTCCCTTCAGTGAGACCTGCTGGTCCTCTGCCAGCCATGACGCTGCCAGTCCTTCCTCACCTCCCTTTTGTTGAGCTCTCCATCCTCATCCTCATAGGGACCACCCATGATGAAGGTGTTGGGGATGCTCAGAGCGCCGGGAGCCACGATGTTAGCAAGGGGCCATTTTTTGGGCCGGGGCAATGTCTCTTTTTCACCAGCAAGCTTCAGGATGCCATCCTTGAAGAGCAAGGGGAATTCTTTCTGGAGAAACAGAAGAATGAAAGGACTTGCCTTTCCAAAATGAGCAGGAGCAAGTGCCAGCTTCTCCAAGCTGGGGCTAACAAAGCAAAGCATGGCCTGGCTTGGAAAATGCACTCCACCACATGCATGCAAAGAATGGAGAAAAAATAGATAGCCATGTGGGAAGAAAACTGCCAGATTCAATCCAAATCTTGCTGAGCAGACTTTCGTTTGTGTTAAAGAAACACATCACACCACAGAGACCCTGAGCACTTGTGACAAACGCTGCTGTTGCTGGGGCTGTACACCCCACAGACCCAAACACTCGTTCCATGGTGTGTAGTGCGGGTGAACAACCCACTTTGTAGCAGCCAAAGCCCATCTCACCGTGCCTGGACCAGTCCTCACCTCCCCGGCTGCTGGGACTTGCAGACAAGCCATGTAGTTTTGGAGGGGTCCAGCGGGAGCAAATTCTTCGGGGACAGAATACGCTGCCTCCAGCGTGACGCTCAGGAGGTTCCCATTCGAAAGCTGCGCTGCAGAAAGCAGGGGCTCTTCAGTGCACACTGTCACTTCAAGGCTACCCTGGGAGATGAGGATAAAGTAGAGCCAGTAATGATTCTAACTCTCCTGCTCTTGAGGGAGAAGCAAGCAGAAACCCAAGGTCTGAATGTATAATGTGACCTTATTCCTCACCTCAGGTGTAAAAGAAAACAAACCAGCACAGGAAAGGAATTGCATGATCAATTTGTCTGAATTGCAATATTTGTTGTTTAAATCAGAGCCTGCTTGAGAGCACAGCATATGCCCCAAGGGTTGCATCAAATGAGCCAGGGAGAAAGAGTCAGGGTCTTCTAAAACAAGCCACAGATAAAGGTCAGGGGTGGAAAAATAATGATTTTCCCCTGGTGTTTCAGAGCCTGCCAAAGCTAGGGCCACGCTTCGACTCTGCCTTACCTTCACGCACTGTGTGCAGTCTTTAATGACCCGTCCCAACCCTGGATGGACGGTGTGCAATGAAAAACCAGCAGGTCAGCGTCTCATCTCTCCTCCCTAATGAGTGCCCCCATGCCTCGCTTACTGTGTACCATCTCCTAAATACGGAAAAGTTAACGCAATACCCGCTGCCCGTCCCGTTCACTGGCAGTGCTGACTGCGGGCCGGCTCAGAAGCAAAGTCAGACCCATTTTCCCAGTCTCATCCTTCATTCCCTGTGTTATTCACTGAGGCTGAGTGAATAAGGACCTTGCAGGCAAGGCAGCCAGAGCTTGTGCAATAATGGATTCCGAGATATTTTATCCTCTGAAAGGAAGACTAATAGAGCCGGGCAGGTAATCCTGCCTTTGTCTTTTTCTGTTTTTTTCAGCACTCTGCTTTCCATCTGGAATACTTTTTCCACAGTAATTTGGTAGCTGCACACATTAGCATTGCCTAGCACGACCTCACCTATCACAGGGAACTCGGGATGGACGTCAATGGGAGTAGGAAAGGCCTCCAAGCTTGTAACATATAGGGCCAGAACATATCTGCGATGAGCTAGGCGGCTGAGTCACGCTCGCCTTCCCATTAAAAAGCAGCAGAGAGGCGAATGAGCGGAGGAACAGTTCCAAATTCCACATACCTTGGCCTCCGGGTGAAGGCTCTCTGATGGAGAGGTAGGCACTGCATACAAAGGAGCCGAGACCTGAAATGAACACTGTCCTGCAAAGAAACAGGAACGAGAACAGCATAAAGTGAGACCCTCTGTAGAGAAATAATGGCCTAACTAATGCTGAGCACCCTCTCTTCCCCCGGATGCAGCTTTCTACAGATGCTCTGAAATGCATTTTGTCAAAAGGAGGGAAGTTTTAGCAGCAGGTCGAAGGAGGTGATTCT